ACTCTCAGGAGAGGCCAGCAGGAGTCTGGTGTCACAGCGTCCTCTGCCTGAGAGAGGGAGGGAACTGGGGAGGGGGCGGAAGCACTGCCGCCCCATCGACGCTCCCGTGCGATAAGGGAGGTCCTTGACTGGGACGCTGAGAGAAAGGGTGGTGGACCCATGACTAGCACACCTGATAGGGGGCTGTGGTGGTGGCAGCCAGGGGCCTTTGGGCACCCCAGCAGAAGCACATGCAGCTGAGATTCCGAAAAGATTTTAATCCCTTTAATCTCTCTCTCCCTCGTCCTCCCATCTCCTGCCCAGTGCTCCCATTGGATGGACCCAGTACGAAGTCGGAGATCAAGGTTGCTGGAGTGAGGCAGACCGAGGGGGTCACCCCTGAGGGCTGGCGCAGGACAGAGAAAGTCAGAGAAAGCATCTGAGTGGAAGCACACCACCCTGTCATTTCCATTTGCTCCCCAGTCTGACATGAGCATATTCTCTGTCTTCCATGAAGCACTCTGTAAATAGCTCTGCAACAGCACCCGAACCCCTCTTCTCAGTGGACGCTATCCCCAAGTCTCCCATATGGAAATTCCAGAACCAGAAGATGCATCTCAGCTCCTGCCTTCCTTTCTTCCTCTGATGAGACAAGGGCAGGGCGACATGGCCGCACAGTGACCTAGGACATACCAACAGGTTGGGCCTCTCCCCAAAATGTACCTGAGCACCAGAGAACTGGCTCCTAGGAGCAGATGCTCCAGAGGGGTTGGTGGGGCCTCCTCCAGCTCCTGGGAGCCACCCACCCACCCACACGGGCTGGGACGAGCGTGTAAGAGAAAAACAGGGAGGCTGCCCCCTCAGCCCTCCATTCGGCCAAGTCCAGTGCTTCCCTGGACAGGCCTGGGCTCCAGAAGGCAAGTCAAAGTCAGGTCTCATGCAAAGGGCACAAAGAACAAGGGCCAAGATGGGTCAGGAGAGGCCGGACACTGGGCTGGCCCAGCTCGGTGCCCCTCAGGCCTGATGGGCGGGGCGGGTGGGGGCTTCTTGGCCAGATCGGGTCAGGGCTTCGTGGCCAGGTCCACAGGGGGAGCTGCCTCAGGCTGGAGGGGGCTGGTGACCAGCGGGCTGCAGAAGAAGCAAAAGCCAGTGAGTACAAGTTGTCAGAGCCTGTGGCTGGGTGAAGGGCAGGATGAAGTCATGTGGGGCAGCCTAGCACACAGTGAGCCCAGGTCATGCTTCTCCCAGATCCTGCGATGAGAACGGGCCTGAGGCCCTTATCCTGGTTGAGCTGGAGTGACAGGACAGTCTAGGTATGGCCCCTCCCTGGGAGTGCTGCACCTGGGAGTTCTTGGTAAGCAGTGGCTGTTGTGTAGCTCTGGGAGGACTGTGGTCTCAGCCAGCACAGAGGACAGGTTGGGGAGAGGCAGGTGGCCTCAACCCAGACTCCACACGGGGCACACGGGGAAATCTGGAAAGGTGGCAGAAAGACTGTTGGGGATCTGGCAGAGCAGGGAGGTCACTTGTCCTCTGTGAGCTCAGCCTGTCTCTGTGCGGGGGGAGTGATGACTGCCCCCCACCAGGCCCTGCAGACCAACCAATGTGACAGGTCAGTACTCACATCTGGGCCCAGCACGGGGGCTGGCCCACACGTGCCAGGGGCTGCACAGGCAGATGGACAGAGGGACACGGTGGTGGGGACAGCCTGCCCAGGGTCCAGGAAATCAGCCGGCACCTCCCCTACCCAGTGCAGCCACCCCCGCGCCCCAGGCCCATCTGCCCGCCCTCACCTGACCAGCCCCAGGAGTTGGTCCTTCGTCCTGGAGTAGACCCCGAGGGCCAAGCTCCTCAGCATCCCCTGCATCCACCACAAGTCGTCCGGCATGTCAGGCAGCCACATTGCCAACCTGGAGGAAGGCCCACGGCTCCAGTTGGCTGCACCCGGGCATGGGCCCAGCCAGCACCCCCTCCCTACAGTCCCTGCACCCGAAGCACCAGGGTCAAAGGAAGGGGGTGGGAGGAAGAAGCACCCAGAGGCGTGGGCTCCACTGCAGAGCGGGTCAGACCCATGGGGCACTTGCAGGGGCGCGGGAGTTGGGGAACCACCATGACGGACTCCGATTGGTGGAGGCGGCCAGGCCCTTAGGGTCAACTCCACAGGACACAAGTGGGAAGCACAGAGGAGGAAAGGGGAGGGCTTTGGGGTCGGCTGGCTGGCGGTGCAGCCCAGCTCCCCTGCTCAGCAGCTGTGCGACCTGGGCAAGTCAGGGAACCTCGTGGGCCTCAGTTTCCTCAGCTGACAAATGAGAACAGTCACCTCGCCTGCACTTCCATCCTGCTCCCTCCTCCCCAGACCAGCTCCTCCCCTGCCCACTCCACACCTCTGCACCCTCTCCCCGCAGCAGCCAGTGATCTTCCTGAGACATGCAGCCCACCAAAGCGCTTCCTTGCTCAAACCTATCTGTGCCACCCACACGGGCCCGACAGTGTCTGCAGAGGGCTGGGTTATGCGACTATGGCCGAGAAAGCACCTGGCCAGACACCTCCTCAGACTCACCAGACACTGCAGGGCTTCACTCCCCGCGGCACTGTCCTTAGATGAACCTCTAAACCTTACACTAGGCAGACAGTCCGCAGAGTGTAATGTGACAAGCAGAACGTAAGCAGGACTACCACCTCCTTTATTCTAGACCTTCTACCTCTAGTATTGCAACCCACACGTAGGTTACAGAAAACACCAAGTATTTACACCGCCTCCCCGTGAGGCCTGTTTCACAGAGGAGACCACCGAGACCCCTCTGAGTCCTTCAGCCAACACCAGGCAGCGTGGGGAGAGCAGCCGGGCCCTGTCCACCGGTGTATCAGCCTCGCTTCCTGCCATGGGCTCTGGTCTCTGCCACGACCCCGGCAGCAAGCCAGGAGTCCCGGGACTCGGGGCCTGGCCTCACCGTCTGGTCTGGAAGTAGGTGTACTGGAAGGGCAGCGTGCAGGGCAGCAAGTGGTACGTCAGCACCCTCCCGAGGCTCGACCGGCAGAAGCGGGCCCAGGGGCTGGAATCCCTCAAGCACGCTTTCTTCAGTCCTGCAAGAGAAGCCACAGCATGCCCGGCCGCCCCTCAGCCAGCCCCTCAACATCAGCTCCGGGCCAGGCAGCCTGAGCCCCTCTTTACCTCGCCCGGCCCCCCGCAGAGGAAAATGCAGCACTGAGCAAGCCCCGCCCCCTCAGCTCCTGCTCTCATTACCGTTCCTGAAATGGGCAGGGTGTGTCCCTTTCACCGAAGAGTGAACTGAAGTTCAGAGTGGAGAGGTCGCTTGCCCAAAGACCATTGCCAAGACGTGGCAGGGCCAGGATGGACCCAAGGTCCGCCAGGCTCCCCAAGCTCCTTCCACCTCTTCCGCCCGTCTGGAAAGTCTGCGGCGGCCCCCCAAGATGAGACAGGTGCCCACATCATATTTCCCTCAGCAACACGTCGCTAGAATTATTAACCACAGCAGCTGCAGCCACTGGGACCACGATGACCGTTTTCCGAGCCCTCTAGCCCCCGAACTGACCAGAGAGGAAAGGACGAGCATCCTGGCCAGGGCAGAGCCAGGGCCCAAGTCCTCCCCGCACCCCCAGCTGCCCGCCCAGACCATGGCGTAGCCAAGCACACACCACCGACCCTGCTCGGCCGACTCCTTCCACGTCTCACTTAGATGCTGTTCTAAGTCACCCCCAACTAGCACTATTACATGCACGTGTGAGGCCCTGGACTTTCCTGCTTTTCAGTTGTGACCTTCGGGTTATCGAGCAGGAGAGTAGGCTGAATGTTCAGAGCAGAACTCCTGGTTCTGTCCTCTGCTAGCTCTGTGACCTTGGGTGAGTCATTTAACTTCTCTGGGCTGTGGTTTTTTCATCTGTACGATGTGCACAATTGAGCACCGCACCCAGAGTTGTCGAGAAGATGAAACGTGTCCAGACCTTCTGGATGCGCCTCTCCTATGTCCCTCGGTACCGCCCGCCCTTTCCTGGACAGGAGACGAAGACCTGGCTTTCTCAGAAACAGACTTGGGTTTGAATCCTCCCACCGTGGGCTTTGAGACCTTGGTGAGTCCCCTCTCCTCTCTGAGCTTCAGTGTTTTCATCGGTGAAACAGGTAAGAATCACGCTTAGGCCCACGGCTGGCACCTGGCACCATACCTGGCACTTAGCGGGTGCTCGGAAAAATGAGTCATAGCCTCTTCCTGAGAGCTATCACCTTCGGGGCAGGTCCCGGTCCCCAGCCCTGCATGCCGGGCACATGCCAGGGGAGCAAGTGCAGGAGGAAGGGACAGTACCGGTCTCCAGCTCCAGCGAGAGCACCTCGAAGTTGGGCACATCCTTGACCGTCACGTTGGGCACTGCCCAGTTGAGCGACAGGCCTGCCTTCTGGCCTTGGTCATGACCAGCGTCCTGGGTCTCATCGGCTGGGGCTGGGGGCTCCTTAGACACCAACATCCACAGCACCGGCTCCTTGGTGAGTCCTGGGTCAGGAGAGGGGAGAGATGTGACAGGTCAGCATGTCCGGAGCCTTCTGGTGACAATGACTTCTCTGGCTCTCCACTCTGTCCATACCATCCACACCCCTCAATGCCCAAACCCAACTCTGATGGACCCATGGCTTGTCCCAAATGATGCCTGCCTGCATTCCCCCGGCCTTGCTCTGCTCGGTGCCCTGTGCACCTTCTAATAGTTAATCAGACCCCAGACCCTGAAGACCCTGTCCAGGGTTCAAATCCTGGCTCTGCCACCTGCGAGCTATGTGACCTAACGGCTCCATGCCTCAGTTTCCCTCTCTGTGAAAGGGGGAAATTAAGACCCGCTCGATGTGGTTGCTCTGAGAATTAGTTAAGTACTTCAAGCTCAAACCCAGTTTGGGCACATGTAAGAGCTCAGCCAGCGCTTCCTGCTGCTGTGTGTTTCGGGCCACCGTGTGGGGGGTGGAGGACAAGGGTTCTGTGGTCACATCTCAGCTCTACTGCTTTGAGGAGCGTTGCCCTGTGGGATGACATCCAAGCTTCGTAGCTCTGACCTCTCTGCACTGCCTCCAGGAAGCCTTCCTTGTCCACTCCACCCTCCCCCTCCCCAGCTCCCAGGCTGGGTCAGGTGCCTCCTCTGGGATCCCACAGCCCTGAGCATCCCTGGGGAGATGTCCCTCTCTGGGTCTGTCCCCTGCACCAGGCTGTGGGCAGCTCAAGAGCAGGACACACAGCCTGGGTCCTCTCTGGGTCCCTAGCGTCCAACTCAGGCCAAACATAGAACAGTTGCTGACGAAGCGAATGAGTGAACCAAGGTTCATAAAATCTCAAATGCCCAAAAAGCAGGATCCACCTGGTGCTCACATGGGATGAAATCCCCAGCTCCTGTGGGGGCTGCCACCTACCACGTCTCTCAAGGAACCTCAGGGCGTCCAGGTAGCCTTGTCGGCATTTATCAGCTGTTACCTGCCAACACACAGGCCAGGGTGGGTTGGGGAAGGCCTCGACCTCCCCTCGAGCTGGTGATCACAGGTCGGAGACTTGTCTTCAATTGGAAGTGAGCCTAGCCCTGTTGATACTCCCCAAAAGACCCTTCGGCAGGGTTCAAAGACCCTGAGGGCCCCCGGCCTGGGAAGGGAGGACCGCAGGACTGCAGGAGAAACGAGTTTTCTCCCCATCCCCCACCGTCATCCTCATCCCAGCCCAGGATGCCCAGGACATTACCTGGTCGATGGGTGATGGGTTCCTTTGCCTGTTTGATATTCATTTCCAGGATCAGCCTGGGATAGCAAAGGAACCCAGAGGCCCTAGGGGGCCCACGCCCGCCTGTCTCTGCCAGGGGACCACTAGTGGGGAAAAGGTGCCTGCCAGTCCACGAAAGAGTTCTGCCCTCTTCGCCGTGTTAGCTAGGACAGCCAGGCCACCTTTCTGAGACCCTCAGTTTTCTTGTCTGTAAACAGGGCTGCGAAGTTCTGTCCACCCCAGGGCTGTGGGGAGGGTCAGAGGCATGAACGTGACCTCGTTTCACAAGTTATAAAACATCACAGGACCTTAAGAGGTGTGAAGGAATAGGACAGGGCCAGGGCGTGCTTGGGGAGGGGGAGTATGTGATGACGATAAACTATGTTGTTAAATTACCTGTTTTTCAGAAACGCCGAGGGGCAAAAAGCAGACAATGTGGGTCTGTTGCAGATCTTTTCTGTGCTTACACCTCGCTGCTGTCCAGGGCAGCGACTAAGAGCACGGTCTGGGCTAGCTCAGGATTCGAGACCTGGCTTGGGAGTTTCCAGGCTGTGTGACTTTGAAGAAGTTACTTAACCTCTCTGAGCCATGGTGGCCTGCCCTGGGAAACGGAGATGCCAATAGCACCTTCACACAGAGCCTGATCAGCGGTGCCTGGGCAGAGGCCAAGCTCAAACCCCAGCTCAGCAGAGCTGGCTTCAGTGTGCTGCCTTGATGTGGGGCCAGTCCTAGCTTAACACCTGCCCAGGGAGGGGAAGAACAGTAAGGACACAATGTGAGCCTCAGGCTGTGGTATCAAGGGCTTGGTTCTAATCGGCCTGAGGCTGTGTGGAGTCTTCTCAGGCACAGAGTCTGACGCAAGCAGCCCTTAACCATGGCCAAGCCTCCGATGCCTTCGAGGCTGGCCGGCAGAACCACACCCACCTCCAAGGTGGGGCACACGAGGCAGGAGAACCCCCAGTATAAGTTCATGGTGGAGATCTGGAAGTTGGCATTGCAGACGTGCAGCTCGTGAATGCTGGCCGAGGTGTTCGGGGGGCAGATGTCCACTGTCCCAGTGAAGGGCGACACGGTGATGGTGTTGGGGGAGTCGGAGAAGGGCAGATTGTTGCTCAGACCCCCATCAAAGTAGTGCTGCAATGCAGGGGGGCGGTGCTGCCCTCTCAGGAAGCCTGGCCTCCTCCCACACCGCCATGGAGCCCCTGGCCGAGGCGAGTCTGCAGCCCGTGACCCTGTGGCTGCCCCTAAGTCACTAGACCTGCTCTGGCCTGGGATGCTCTCAGCACCCCAGGAGCAGGGCGTGCCGGGACACAGGGGGAGCTTGAGGAGTGTTGGTATCCCCGACCCACATACCCTCAGCAGCAGGTGCCTCGGACCACCCAGGGCGCAGGGCAAGGCCTTGGTCACTTACCTGCCCTCTGAATTTGGGGGGGATGGTCCCACAGTAGAAAGGAAAGTATGTGGCGCAGATCAATGCCTGGGAAGACAAGAGTCAGCCGAAACAGCCGTTCATCCTCCTAGTGCCCAGAACCTGCTCTGAGCGCCGTGTCTAAGCTCAGCACAACCCACGGGGTGGCGCTCCTCGTGCCGTGTCCAGGGGAGAAAGCCAGGGTCCGGGACGCGTCGGGTCTCAGCTGAGTACTCGAGGTTAAGAAGAGACGTGAGCCCAGGCCTTCTCGGCAGCCGCCCTCCTCCTCGCTGACTCGACCCGCCCCCAAAAGGCGAGCGGAGGCACCGGCCGCCTCTCTTTCGTCAGCCTTGTGGGAATCTTCCGCCCAGAAGCTAGGGACGTCTCCCCACATGTGTTCTTTGGCCACTGATCCAACCAGATGCGCCTCAGACAAGAAACCTTGACCTGTCTATCCACTTGAAAAACACCGTCTACTCTTTCCAGTAGAGGCTCTGACAAGTCCTGCAGTACAAAGGACTCTAAACATAGACCGTGATGCTGCCAGTATTTAGGACTGGATGATTCTCCATTGCAGGGGTGGGGGGCACTGCCCCGTGCATTGAAGGGTGTTCAGTAGCACCCCTTGCCTCTACCCACCAAACGCTGGCAGTGTATACATGCGCACGCACGCCCACACACTGTTGTGACAGCCCCAAACGTTTCCAGGGGTTGCCAAATGGTGCCAAAGGAAAACCACCCCGGCTGAGGACGCCTGACCTAGCACTTCCCAGCGGAGCAGAGGGCCCGTCTCCCGGAGCTCTTGGACATCCTGTCCAGTCCTCCCCGGAGACACAGAACCTCTCCTGGCTTTCACTGGGTCGGCACCTCGTTCCCACAGCTTAACAGGAAGCGTGACAGCAGTTGATGTTTACTGAGCACCTACTATGTGCCAGGACCTGTGCTACGTGCCATATAGGCAAAGATGCTGGAACGTGCTTTGGGGTGCTCAGCTGGCTTTCTTGGGGGGCCACCGATGTTAGCCTGTAGCAAGAGGCTGGCTTCTCCCTGCACACCCTAAGAATTCCAGTCAGCACAGACCCAGAAACAAGCCCCGTGCTGGATGCTGGGGACCCTGAGATGAAGCAGATTCTGTATTGGGGACCCTAGTCTGGGTAGAATGTGAGACCCTGATTGGAGGGGGCAGGGGGGTGGGGGGGT